GCGGGATGAGCACCGCCACCTAGAGTCGAACACGACTGGACAAAAATTGTCAAGGGGAACCTTTACCTTTTTAACAAAGCTGAAACCATTTGAACGCAGAAGCCTGGTCATCTTTGCTTTCGTCAGGGTTTTCCTGCAGAGAAGCTGAGGTGCCTCACGTGCTCTTTTGAAAATCCCAAGTTGAGTCCAAGATTATATTAGAAGCTGCCCAAATCAAATAAATAAATAAAGATAGATAGATAGATAGATAGATTCAGTACAAAGGTTATTTGTGAGCCACATTTCATCTCGCTGCATGTTAGCATTAGATGTCAAAGCAGTGCCATTAATACACATTTGCCCAGAGAGTGATTGTGTCATCTTGAGGGCTCTTTTGGTGTTTAATTGTTTTGCTTATTACCAACAGCTAAGTAGCAGCTGTGTATTCCTGGCCTTTCCTTTAGGTAACAATACAAGACCATAGTTTTCCCCCCTGTTCACATACATAATTTAACCACAGTATTGATGGGCAGAGGATCTGTGGCCCTGCAGACATTGGCTTCTAGTCCCTGTCAGCCCCAATTAGCATAATAACCTAAGGGGAGCCCTGCTGGATCAGGCCAAGGGCCCCTCTAGTCCAGCTTCCTGTCTCTCACAGTGGCCCCACCAGAGGCCTCTGGGAGCACATGAGACAACAAGAGACCTGTCTCCCGATACCCCTTCCCCTGCCTTTGGCCTTTGGAGGCACCTTCCTTGATACATCCCCATCATGGCTTGTGACCTGCGACGGACTTTTCCTCCAGGTAAATTCCCTTAATGGGAGTCGGAGTCCAGACGTGTTTGGAGGGCTGCCAGCCCATTGCTTTGGCAGGCCCTTTTCCTTTCAGTACCTCCCAGTATGAGCTTCCACATCCATCACATGCAACTGTTTTGCCTTCTGTGCCACCAGATCTTTCCAGAGCGCTCTTTGCTGAGAGACCGTCAATTTTAAGGGCGGTGCCTTGGATTGGGAGGAACTGTGCAGGTGCTCCCAGCTAGCCAGGAAAAGACAGGATAACGCAGGGTGTGGGGAGGCAAGGGAAGAATCCGGGAGGTTTTGACGCATCCCAGAGATGAGGCAGGGACCTCTGAATGGAGAGCAGGGGTTGAATGGGACTCTCCTGGAAGCTCCCCGTTTGCACACCGGTCCAGTTGTTTCCCAGAGAGAGACATGAACCCATTGATGGGAAATTTCCATCCTTTTCTCTGTCTCAGATTCCCAGCCTGTGGTGCATGTCATCGCATCCCGAAGTCAGGATTGGTCAGAACACGAGATTGCTGTGGATTCCAGCCCGACCATCATCTACCAGGATGTGTCCAGCGAATCTCAGTCAGCAACGTCCACAATCAAAGCATTGTTGGAGCTCCAGCAGACCACAGGTGGGTGTTCCCCGTCTCTGTGGTTCCCTTTTCATTTGCTTTGTGTAGAGGAGCTTCTTCCACACAGGGAACAAAGACTCAGTGGATTTCTTCCTCCTTTTGATTCCGGCTGTCAGATTTCGAAAAAGTCTATACAGTAGGTGGAAGCTGAGCAGAGTAGAGAGAATCTTGTTTTCTGGACATTCCTTTCTTGTTTCTCAGCTCCATGTAGAACAGAATGAAAGATGGTGCTCTTGTGGTCTTCATTCACCTCTCAGATGTTTTACATTTGCTGACTTGTTTGTGAAAAAATGGGACGTGGTGGCGCTTCGGGTTAAACCACGGAAGCCTCTGTGCTGCAAGGTCAGAAGACCAGCAGTCGTAAGATCGAATCCACGGGACGGAGTGAGCTCCTGTTGCTTGTCCCAGCTCCTGCCAACCTAGCAGTTTGAAAGCATATAAATGCAAGTAGATAAATAAGTACCACCTTGGTTGGAAGGTCACAGCGTTCCATGTCTAGTCATGTTTGTTATGTGACCAGGGAAACTGTCTACAGACAAGCACTGGCTCTGCGGCTTGGAAACTGGGATGAGCAGTGCGCCCTAGAGTTGGTCACGACTGGACTAAATGTCAAGGGGGACCTTTACCTTGTGAAAAAATTACCTTGTGTGTGGTGTAGTCTATTAACCGACAATTCCAAGCCCCATTTTAAAGCTCTTTAATTCCCCCCCCCCATTCCTCTTACTAGCTTCCTCAGTATGTTAGCCATTTATGCCTACAGTATTTTTCGGAATTTGACAAGGCATCGTTGAAATGCCAAACAAGGTATAAATATATACATGCCCATAATTCTTCAGAATACAATTGTTTGATGGTCCTTTGGGCAGGAAATGTCATTGAATGGCAATGAGATTCTGGTGCAGCTGACATCTGGCGGTTCCCTTTCCTCAAATATATCTCTAGCTAGAGAGAGGAAGTGGGATAAAAAAGCCGGAGTGGGCATGAAGTAGAGAAGGGGTCTCCAGAATTTCTAGATTTTTTATTTATTTAAAACATTTTTACCCTGGTTTGTACCTTCAAAAGGACCCAAGGCAGCTTATAGAGTGGTGCGTCGCAAGACGATTTTAATTCATTCTGCGAAAATCGTCGTCTTGTGAAAAAAATGTCTTGCAAGGTTCCCTATGCATTGGTCTAAAAAAAAAAACTTGTGAAGCATTGGTCTCAAAAAAAAAGTCTTGCGAAGCGCGGTCATAGAAAAAAAGTCTTGTGAGGCACCATAGTGATCACAAAAACCAATCGTCTTGCGGGTTTTTCATCCCACAAGGCAATCGTCTAGCGAGGCACCACTGTATCATCAAATTACGATATTTAAACCTAAAAACAGTAAGTATCCAAATACTAAAAAGGGTCAAATGCTACGCTACAACACAACACCAAAAACACATTCAAAACAGTAAGATAAAACCATCCATTTTAAAACCCCACTCAGGCAGCCGTCGACCGAAGGAAAGCTTGCAAGATCTTTTCCTGCTTGTGGAAGAACAACAAGGATGGGGCCAACCTGGCCTCCTGTGGGAGGGAGTTCCAGAGTCTGTCCTATCTCCCTGCCAGACACACCTTTCAGGGTGGTGGGACTGCGCGAAAGCTGAGCAGGCGAATAAAGGAAAAAAGCAGTAGGATAGCTTGGACCCAAGCCATTCAGGGCTTTATAGGTCAGAACCAGCACATTACAAGCAGTAACATTTCCTGGCTGTAATTTGGATATTCTTATGCATGGAGGCCATGGCATGGCTTCCAAGACGTAGCAGGTAACTGGAAAGCTACTTAACCACAAGTGGACGGTGTGGCCTCTGAGTCCCTTTTGACTCTGAGCCTTTTAAAACCACAGTCACCCTTTCCCTTCCTCTCTGCCCATTTGCTGGAACAGTGAAGGAGAAGATGGAGCCTAAGCCAAGGCAGCCCACGATAGACCTGAGCCAGATGGCGGTCCCGATCCAAATGGCCCAAGAGAAGCGCCATTCTCCAGAGAGCCCCTCTATTGCTGTTGTGGAGTCTGAGCTGGTTGCAGAGTATATCACCACCGGTAAGTCCTGGGGGATAGATGCCAGGACTTGGTAAGGGGGTTGAAAGTCATCTCACTCCATCCGTTTAGGCTCTTGAGCTCTCTCCTCTCCTGAATGTAAGCTGCAGGGTGGGGTGGTGAAAGGGTAAACCTGCTTTTTTAAAATATAGGTTTGCTTTAGAACTGCCAATCCGTAGGAGAAGGGGGCCTTGCCCTTTGCTGGCTACAGTTTATGCCACATGATAAGCCGAGGCATCTGGGGTACTCCAGGCTTATTGAGTAGGAGCATCCTCCTAGTGTGAGAGTACCAAGCTGGTTTTAGTTGGTTTATTGTGTTGTTTGAACACGGTGGTAGCTGCTGTTCTGCTAACTTCTCCCAGCCGTCAAGCCATGTAAAGAATCCAGGGTTTCTTTGAAGGTGCTTTGGCCTTGTTTCTTTCCCTTTGACCAGAGGTTGTGCCCAATTTTGGATGAAACATTAAACAAACCACGGAGCAAAGCAAAACAGAATGGGTGACGTGACTGAGCAGGCTGCTGTTCCTAGTCAGTAAGCTGTCATCCCCAGCCGTATGGTGTTATGTGATTCAGAATGCAGTCTCACAACATATGGGAAGAACATGATTACTTCCAGGAGGCAGGAAGAGAGGGCAGGAGCCGAAAGGTGAGGTGCATGAGACTGGAGGCTTCTAGAACCATGAATGGAGTGAAGAATTGGCCGTCTACAGCGCCCAAATAGCCTCACCAGTGGTCACACTGGATCAGCCTCTAGACAGGAAGGTCCAGAATATCTGGAGGGTCAGAGGCTGCCCAGCCCTGCTGTAAGTATTACAGTTTGGATGCCTGGAAGGAGCTGCTGGCCTCCCATGTTAATATGGCCTTCCCTATTGGAGGAAGAAAGTACATAGCTGCTAAGCAGCGCTGGCACATATACACAGAGATCTGTATGAACAGGAGTTAGAACCATAACTCTTGGTCAGAAGTGCACAGCAACATACATGAGCTGAAATCCTGTGGCATAGCTATGCCTGCGTAACTTGAAGCCTGCGTAACTTGAAGTTAGTTAGTCTGTGGCAAACCTTGCACAAAGGCAGAAGTCCTTTCCAGGAAGCCTTTTTGCAGTCAATCATGCTGTCCAGACACAGTTCATTGTGCAACTAGTTGTGTGGTTCATTGCCTAGTTCGTTGTGCAGACACTGTGTGTGACCCCTGCAAACATACACTTCCATAACTTTACATTTTGCCAAGTCCAACAGTATTTCAGCCATGAGGTCAGCTTTAGCCTTTAGGAAATTCTTCGATGTGTGCTCCGCTTACTTGTGCTTGTAGCTGTGAGCCTCCGCTTCCTCCCCACCTCAAGATTCATCCCCCGCTGAACTTGCTGGTGCGGGATGCAGGCCTAGTAATACATGGACTAGGCAGTGCTCCGGTCATATTTGGCAAAGATCTGTAGCTTAGTGGTTAGAGCACCTGCTTTGCCCATAGAAGGTCTCAGGTACAGTCTGTGTGTTTGGGAAACCTTATCACTATAACCTGGAGAGGCCCTGCTATTCGGAAATAGGCCAGTGAATCCTGCTGTTGGGTCTCAAGAGGGTGGACTACAACTCCTATCATCCCTAGCCAGTACTTGTCAGGGATCCTGGGAGCTGTAGACTGGCAACATCTGGGAATCTAAAGCTTGGAACCAGCAGTGTGCATGATGCTCAGCTAGGTGGACCCAGTGTGTGACTCGGAACAAGACAGACCGTGATTGATTATTTCATACAAAGATGATTTAGGGGGAAAAAAAACGTGGCATAAATCTGTTTCCTGCCAAATCCACCTAACTAGAGTTTGGAAAAGTTCCTTCCATTAGACCCCTTAATGCCCTGGGGAGAGGTTCTCCCCCGACTCCAGACTGGCGAAAAGAAATTTTTGTTACTGCAGGCACTTGGCTGATGATTTCCTGTGCAAAAGATAGCCTCTGCCATTGAGTTGTAAGAAACCCGCTACAGCTCCTTCCTCAGGTCTACCCCAGGATAAAATTGTTTAAAGATCTATAACCAGCCTGAGACTTGCTTTTAATGTGTGATGGGTTTCGTTCTCTGTGAAATGTCTGTGTTCCAGACTGTACCTGTTGTCCTCGCGCTCTCCTCTTATCTAACCTCTGGGCTTTTCATCTGTGTGTCACCTTCCTGTCGTGGTCTTCTTGTGCTGCTGGCTTTAGTGTTGTGTTGGTCAAGATGCAATAACTGCTTTGCAAGCTGCCATTCGCTTGTCGTGAGTTTTGCTGGGCTACCCCTGTGAACAGCTGATGTGTTCGCAGAGGGCGGTTTTCCAGGAGATGGAAATCCTAAATGCCCGTTGGAGCCAAGAAGGGGTGGGTGCCAAGTATTGTGCCCGCAAATGCCACCAAAGGTAACGTGCTTTGGTAAGCAAGGTCTTTTTCTGTGCTTACAAAGTGCTCTTTCAGTATAAGCCTCCTATAATGAGCAATGTAAGAAGGAGGAAGGGAGGTTTTTCTCCTCTTTCCGTCAGCTACAACTCAAAGATACAAGTTATAGACAAAAGTGATCACCACACAACATGAAACTAACATAACAGGATGTGGTGGTGCTGTATTTGATGAATCTGAAGAATAAAATAGGTACAGTCGTAAGATGTAGGAATAGGATGTACAGCTTCAGAGTGCTTATGGGGAGATTGTATTTTTACATTTTCTCTTCTCGAAACAACTTTCTGCAAGAAGATCAGCATTTCAAGGCATTCGTTGAAACCAATCCCTGCTGTAAGCTAGGGAGCTGGAGCCTTGAATTCCCGGTCTTCTTGTAAGGGATTCTTTTCCTCCTCCCTTGTAGAGTGCTGGTTCTACAAGACCAAATGTAAAAATACAGTCTTCACTGTGAGCTCAGTTCGTCTCCCATGATCGTGAAAGTATTTGTTTCTTCCATCGCGGTCCCTCTCCCCCATCTCTTTGGCCATTTTCCTTAAGAAGTTTATAGGACCTTGAAGAGCAGAGAAAGCAGGGAGGGTTATAATGCTACTGCGCCAGCCAAGTTCTGCACGGCATCTCTTCCAAGAAAAGCCACGCTTGTAAGCTTTTAAATTTTTTATTTATTTAAAGCATATCTTGTGCAAGACTTTCAGATCCTGTGTTTTTTTCTTTTCTGAATTTTTTTTGTGCCTGTCTCTGGAACCGAGGGATTCTGTGTGAGTCTCGTTTTGCTTTAGAGCGAACGCACGGGCTGGAGAGTTGCAGAGCAGTGTGCCTCTTCTCTTAGCGCTCATGTTTTTGTCTATCTGCAGACTCAGGAAGACAACACTGTATTCCTTCACATTCGGAAGAGTATCTCCAAAACCACATAGGTTAGAGATTTTATTTCTAAAAGACATTTTTTTTTCTTTTTTGGAAATTGTGGGACCTCTCTCAGAAGTGCCCTGGATGAACGGTTGGCGGCTTTTCCCTCCAGAAGTGCTCTGGGATTAATGAATGTGTCTGTAATCAAACCACTGCTACCCTTTTTACATTATAAAAGGTTCCATTGTTAGCCTTACATGTGCATCTCTGTGTGGTCCAAAGGATTCAGGATTATTGTTATTAGTATTAGTAATAGCAGCAGTAGTAGTATATTATTTATTTAGTTAGTTAGCTAGTTAGCTAGTTAGTTAGTCTGTGCATTTGGGCAGCCACAGCTGTCCTCCATAAGGATTGCATTGCAGCCGTCCTCATGGGAACAGAGAACTAGAAAGTTCCTTTGGCTATGTGTTCCTTTGTGTTTGTGTTAAGCAACGCCCCCCCCCCATATTGCCACGGAATGGGCAAACGGCCAGTGGCAGTAAGACAGATCTCAAATGGGGCTTTCTGCAAGTGACTGTAGCAGCTGGCAGAGTTACACGTAGCTCTGGTGGTAATCTAGAGACGTCTTTACCATTTGGAGGATTGTTCAGAAGCTCTTGAACCAATGTTTGGTATCATTTGGAGCTTTGCTTAAGAAAATAAATATTTAGCTAAGTCCTGCCCATTTTTCATGAACCTCTTGATTTTGCTACAGTTTTCTTTAAGGAGTACTGTTTTGGAATCTGCCAGCAACCTTATTAGTTGATTTTAAAAAAAACAGTATTAAGTGAGTTGTTGTTTACTCATTAAGTCATGTCCGACTCTTCGTGACCCCACAAACTGTAAGAGTTTCTATCCTCTTACAATTAACAACACGAGTTATTTTCAGTTTCTTGGAAACCACCTTCTGGGATGCAGAATATTCTATACAGGCCATGCTGCAAACCTCAGTAGGACTTCAGTGTTACTCTGCTAACTACCGAAAGCAGTTGATTTCCTGATACTCGGAAATGAGTTTCATTTGTGTAGTTCAGAAGGTTATTGAGAAGAACGAAAATAAGGTCTCTTAGACTAGACCAAATATTGATTAAGAAGGTTTTTTTTCAAGGAGGCATTGAGCATTTTCATTTTCAAAATTATTTTTTTTAAACATATATTTGTTGAGTATAGTTGCGGCTGTTTACGGGAGGAACAGCAGATTTTTTTTAATGTCTGGATGCTGTTTGAAATGGATGTCCAATGAATTTATGCTTGTATTTTAACTTAAAAAAGCATAAATATTAATATTTGGATACCTGTCACGCAGGTGCCTGGTAATGACTTTGCAGAACTCAAGGGCAAGCGTTTCTTGTGGAAGTGCCTTCTGTACATTGGAGCAAGCAGTAAAGGCAAGAGAAGGGAGAGGAGAGGAAGCTCTGATGGGAACATGGGTCTCCTCATCCCTCAGTCACTCAGAATAGAGTTAGCCCAACTCCAGGAGGCAGTGGAAGACAGGAGGGCCTGGCATGCTCTGGTCCATGGGGTCACAAAGAGTCGGACATGACTGAACGATTAAACGACAACAACCAAAAATAAGAAAAAGGGAGCTAGCCAGCCCCACTCCACTTCCTTGCTCTCTTCACATGGAGAGGATAACCCTGTGTCAAAACACCATGCCATAGGTATGTACTCTGACTCCCTGATAAATCTATTTCTGACAGCAGGGAGAGGCTCTCCTTTTGAGCTCATCACTGCCTATGTAAAAAGAGGAGTGATAAAGTAAGGTAAACTGTCCAGATGCCTGAACATGGCTGCAGAGAACCCTGAGCTAGTTCTGGGGTGTAGAAAGGAAGCAGAAACCCGCGTTCCAACATTATGTCACTCTCAATGGGTTCAGAAGACGTAGGAAGGTGGAATCCCAGTTTAGGATGCAGATGAGTGCAATCCAGAAGTCACCCGATGCACCCTTTATTTTTCTCCGGCTTCTCCTCTCCCTGTATCTCTCCTGGTGGTTTGGATTACAACTCCCATTATCTCTGACCTGTGGCTCGGCTGGTAGGGATGAGCGAGCTGTAAGCCATGACGGTTCCAGAATGGCGGGTTGAGGAAGCTTGCTTTTCCCCCACTGAAGAACAGTCTGGGGGGAAATGGACATTTATTTATACCCCGCAAGGGTTGCAGTTTAGACAACCACCTGGCAGATGTCTCTTTGATTTGTATTCCTGCACTGAGCAGGGGAGTTGGACCCCATGGCCTTATAGGGTCCCCTTCCGACTTCATGATTCTGTTTTTGGAATGCAGCTTCCAAACTCCTCAGCCTTCACTATTCAGGTTAAAGCTGATTTGAGTCATAGGCCAGGAACCATACAGAGAGCCATAATTTTCACCCTTCCTGCATACGGACCTTCCCTCCACACCACCACAGCCCTAGAGGCGGGTCTATTGCCAATGCATTCTGGAATGCGCCCCTCCAGGTTGTGCTTTTCTTTTCCCTTCTTTCCCGAGACATATCTGCTCCGTTGACTATCCCGTGTACCTGTGGTGGTGGTGGTGTCTCCTCCTTTTGATTTTACCTCTGCCTCCCTATTTGCTTTGCTTCACAGCAGTTTGGCCACTGAGCAAGTGGCTTTGTCACTGATTTCAGGTCCCCCCCCCTTTGTGGTTTCCTCCTTCCAGTGAGCCATCGGTCCCAGCCCCACCAGCAAGCCTCCCAGCCCCAGCGCACCCTCCTCCAGCATGTGGCCCAGTCGCAGACGGCCACCCAGACCTCGGTGGTGGTGAAGTCCATTCCTGCCTCTTCCACGGGGGCCATCACCCACATCATGCAGCAGGTAGGCAGCTGGCCTCTTGGGGGAGCCCTTCTTCCTTGAAGAGTGGTGTGGTTTTTTTGGTGTGTCTGTGTGGGGGGTGTTTCCAGAGTTGACTGGTTTCATTCACCTTTCGGAGAGGTTAATGTTAGAACTCAGGATCACATCGAAGTGCGGTAGATGACCAGGGAGGTGGAGGATACATGTCACAAAGTCCTCATATCGGTCTAGCATTCGAGGATGGATCGAAAGGCTTGAAATACCAGTAAGTATGAATCCGGAGCTACATCAATGTATTTTCATGGTCAATGGGGAGTTTAATTTTGCGACCTCTGCCACACAGGCTAGATCAGCCAAGATGGTTTCTTTTACCCAGCACACGTCTGTGCTGCTCCTGCTCCTGTTTAGCATAATTCCAGCTTTGCAAGACTTTATGAGAAGGAAAAACCTTGGACCTATTATTTTTTGGATGACTATCCCCCACCACCATCAAAGCCCAGTGGGCAGTGGCAAATCTGCCAGTGGGTTCTGGGAGCTGTAGTCCAAAGAAAGTCACTTACTTGTTCAGGAGGAGGGCAAGACCCCAATCCCCAGGCTCTTCTGGCAATCTTGGTTGCCTGCCCTCCTGGCTTCTAAGAGTTCTGCAGTTGTCATCAGCACAATCAAATATTTCCTGCAAGGGAGGATCTGGCATTTGCTTTTCAAGAAGCTAAAACTGTATGCTTGGTTTTTCCACTCCTCCTGTGGAATGCTAGCAGATGGACCTCCTTGAGCCAGTTTTCCTTTTCACGGGCTTTGTGATGCTCACTAACTAAAGATGGGGGTGCGATCAAATGGGGATTTGCCCTGCCATTTGGGTAAGGCTGGTTTGCTCCATTTTCCAGCAACTCTGTGACTGAATAAGGGTTAATACATTTTTTCGTCATCTGCATTCAGCTTGTTGAATATCCTCCCCTTAGAGACCTGATCTCTTTCCACCCTGCTGTCTTTCCACTAGCAGGCAAAAAACCTTTGTTTTCAGGTAGACGTTTAGACAACTGAAAAAAAGGTTTTTTTCTTGCAGAATACTTGTATATTCTTTACTGTTTGTTCATAGGCATGTTTGCTTAATTACTTAAAAACTGTTTTCTAACTAGCAGTCCAATTAATATGATATGTTTGGTTTCTAATGCTGTGGCTTAGCTGTGTTTTTTAATTTGGATTTGTTTTCTAATCATTTTTGAACTATCTTAGATCCGCCACATAGGGGAAGGGCCACATAGAAATAAAAATAAATCAGTAGATAAAGATCCTCTGATGCGATTTGTAGCTCACTGGGGATGAAAATCTGGATTTCCCATGGCACTGTCCAGCACTACTACTGGGACTACTCTATTTGGAACTTTGTCCTGCTAGATGATACCAAAAATTGTTGGGAGACAACTCATATGGAACTTGTTCAGCTTCCTCTCCTGCCCTGGACCCTTTGTGCATGGCAGGAGAGGAAGCTGAACACGTTCCATATGCGTTGTCTCCGACACATTTTTTGGATCTCCTGGCAGGACAAAGTTCCAAATAGAGTAGTCCTAGAAAGAGCTGGAATTCTTAGCATGTATACATTACTGAAACAGCGACATCTACGTTGGCTCGGGCATGTCGTGAGAATGGCTGATGGTCGGATTCCAAAAGATCTCCTGTAGGGAGAATTAGTGCAGGGAAATCGCCCCAGAGGGAGACCACAGCTGCGATACAGGGACATTTGCAACCGGGATCTGAAGGCCTGAAGAATGGACCTCCACAGAGGGGAAACTTTGACCCCTGAGCGTTCAGCCTGGAGGCAAGCGATGCATCACAGCCTCTCCCAATTTGAAGAGGCCCTTGTCCAGCAGGCCGAGGCAAAGAGGCAGTCCTGAAACCAGCAAATCAGGGAGCTAGACAGGGGACAGATTGCACTTGTCTCCAGTGTGGAAGGGATGGTCACTCTCGAATTGGCCTCCTCGGCCACACTAGACGCTGTTCCAAGTCCTCTAATTCAGATCATGTGACCATTGTCTTGAGACGGAAGGATGCCATTACATTGCATTCTCCAGCACTCTGATTAGGACAGTCACCCTGCACTGGCTCTTGTATTTGCTGTGGATGCTTAACCTGTTTCCCTTCGTGGTTTCCTCCTCTCTCTATGTCTCTCCCTTGTGTTTTACCAGGCTCTGAGCAGCCACACGGCCTTCACCAAGCACAGCGAGCAGCTCGGCACCAAAGAGGGGGAAGTGGAAGAAATGGACCCGCTGAATCCCCAGACGGGGCTTTTCTACCACTCGGCCTTGACGCAGGTGCAGAAGCAGCAGAAGCTGAATCCACCCCAGCTGGAGCAGACGCAGCTGCAGGTCAAGACCCTCCAATGCTTCCAGGCCAAACAGAAACAGACCATCCACCTCCAGGCAGATCAGCTCCCCCATAAACTGCCCCAGATGCCCCAGCTCTCCATCCGTCACCAGAAGCTGGCCCCATTGCAGCAGCAGCAGCAGCAAGATCTGGGGCAGTCCAAACTGGACCCCCAGCCCGCTGCCCCTCACCACTCCATTACCCGCGAGCGGCAGCTCCCCACCTTGGTGGCCCAACCCCAACAGACCGTGGTCCAGGTGCTGGCTGTCAAAACCACCCAGCAGCTGCCCAAGCTTCAGCAGGCGCCCACAGCACAAAAAATCTACGTCCAGCCCCAGGGCCAGGTGCCCCTCCCGACTGTCTCCGAGAAGCAACCAGCAAGCCAGGTAACAGACAGGAAAGGAGGGCAATGTGGGAGGGTGTGTGTATGTGCGTGTGTGTGTGGAGGGGAGATAGGTCTCATGGAGCCTTGTAGGGACCTCGTAGAAAAATGGCTGCCATCTGTTTTAGGCAGACCAGGATGTCTCCGGGCCAGTTGACCTGTCTCTTCCCTTGGTGGTTTTACCTGTTCTGAAACTAAGGCTTGGTAGGGGCAGAGTTAAGGGGGGGCAGAAGAAATCGCCAGCACCAAGGTGTTCTTGCTGGCCTCCCCTGTAGCTCAGTTTCCAGAGCTCTCCCTTATGCTAGTAGGTGTTCTTCTGACCTGTGAATACTAAGATCTTTTTTCTATATATTTATTTTAAGAACAAAAAGGAATGTCGTGTAAGGAGAACAGAAGGAAATAATACAATATTGATTATGTAGAAAACTGTTGTACAAGCACATTCGGTAATCCAACCTATAACATTTGCATTTGTTAATCAGGTCATGTACACAATAGCTGAGTGAACCAAGTCTACCTGTGGCAGCATTCAGTAGGATTAACTCCCGCTTTCTCAGAATAGTTGAGTAGCATTTCATGAACTGCTCCATAGCGATTTAAAATATTTGATACTACAGCTCGGCATGCTGTCTTCGTACTTTATTAAGTGGAGGAACGTGTGTCTTCCCCCACACCTTAATTAGAGTGGTTGTAACTGACCAGATAGGCGGGATATAAATAAAATAAATAAATAAAAATAGTTGTAAATGTGCAGCAGTCAAGGTGCAGAATACGATTGTTCTACAAATGCTGGGTTACCTGGTTTGAGACACTGACTAACAATATAGACCTGTAGTTTTCATAGTGATTGTTCCAGTCCCGATCTAATATCATGCTACTGCTGGACAATGCCACCAGATGTGCGTAAAGCTTCCATTTCTTACAACGCCAATATGGCTTACAGGGAACTTTTAAAAATAATTTGGTAGACGTACTGTCTCCTGTTGCTCAATCTCACGGAGGTTCTTCTGTGAACTAACATTTATTGCACGCTCACCTGTTAGCTCTTGAACCCCCTTCCTTCCCCGTTTGGTGAGCAGCTGCCAAGATTCTGTTTTTGGCTGCAGCAGTGTGCAAACTAAATGTTACTCTTAATTGCATGGGAACTTCCAGGAACTGGGATTCGCTTTTTAAATACAGTGGTGCTTCGCATAGCGACGATAATCGGTGCAACAAAAATGGCTGCAAAGCGATTTTGTCGCTATGCTATATTAAAAAGTCCATAGGAATGCATTGAAACCCCTTCAATGCGTTCCTATGGGCTTCAGACTCAACTTTAAGCGAAAATCCTCCATACAGCGGCCATTTTCGCTGCCCGGTAAGCGAGGAATCTGTCCCAGAAAACAGTGGGCGGCCATTTTTTTGCCCCGTGGCCATTTTGGAACCTCCGATCAGCTGTTAAAAAATCATCACTTTGCGATGATCGGTAAGCGAAACAGGGTACCAATCATCGCAAAGTGATTTTTTCCCATTTGAAACATCGCAATGCGATCGCAAAACGTTAATCGCTATGCGATTTTGTCGTTAAATGGGGCGCCCATTAAGCGAGGCACCACTGTAGTTGGTATACCTGTCCTGCACCATTTAATACCTTGGGATATTATCTAATGCTTTATTCTTTGGGATTTGGGGCAGTTCTTGGGAGCCTGGGGTAGAAAGCTGCTTACTCTGGACTACTCTGGACTAAAGCATCCTTTGCAGGCCAGAGATTAGGTGTAGAGTGCTGATCTTAGTGGCTCAACTGGATCTTTGCTACTGGCTCAACTGGAGGAGAAAAACCGCTAGTCAGTCTGAGGGGTTAAATGGAGTTGAACAGCTGAAATGAAATCTTTTCCATTATGCTGTGCTTTGCAGGCTACAACCAGGAGCAAGGGCAGTTCCAGCTATTTGATGCAGGGTGGGGTGTTTAGGGTTCTGTGCGTATATATTTGGCCTTCAAACTGACTTAGAATCCTGCACCCCAAAGTCATTTCACTGATCACTGGGTTCTGAAAGAAGGGTGGAAGCCCTTGCTTGATCTCCTGTAGTTCAGTTCAGAGCAGTGTGGGTATTACTGATCACATGATTGATTTTTAGATCAACCATTGAGGCTGATTTTATACACCAAAACAGTATAAAACTTGAAATGTTTAGATGGTTATAAACCCTGAAGCCAGAATCCTGTTGGCACAGCTCTGCACTTGTAAAGAGAATGATATTATCAGCCAAAGCCTTTTACTTTTCATTAAATGTTTCCTGTTCTTCCCTTACTCCTAGGTTCTGAGGCTCCCTAGGGATCCCCTTCAACTTGGAGGCCTTTTAGGGGCCTCAGGACCTGTGACCATGAATTTCAGGCAGTAATGGCTCCTCTACCCCATCTTGTCCTGGAAGACCCCCTAATGTCTTCCCAAGTTGAAAGAAATCTGAAGAGAGTCTTGGAAAAGGGGAAGCGAGTGGGAAACTTCTAAATTAAAGCTAAAAGCAGGCAGCTGAAGAGGTCATCAGCCATACGGATGTGATCCTGCACCAGCCGGACTCCACCCATTGTATTATCAAAACTATAATAGTGAAAGAAGAGAGCCAAGTTTAAAAGAAAGAAAACACCCCTTTTAAGCACTCATGGAAGATGGGTTCTTTTTTGGTGAAAACCAAGCAAAGTAAAAGCCAGCGAGCAACTTTAAGGACAATTTGCACGAAACAAGTTGCCCCCGTTTCTTTCTCTCTCCCAACCCCCAAAACTGTAGACTTTCCAGCTAATATTTTAAGAGATTTGTCGTTTGCCTCTCCCCCTCCCCCTGTGCCTCTCTGTAGGGTTTGGATATGGACTGTCCTTATTTCAAAGGATTCATGGTGTGCCTCCTTTCTCAAGGCAGCCTCTAGCAGAGGAGGGCTGATCCAGGAAGGGCTTGCATGGGATCACCTGGCTTCAGATGCCACCAGTTAGATGGGGTGTGCCCAGGAACTGCGGAGTTCCCATATCTCAAAGGACGGTGTGTTTGGGGGAGGGGAGGGGCTCAAAGTGTAATATGACTATGGACTGGCAGTGCGCCTCTTCCTCCTGCCAGCAGCATCAACCCCCCCCCCACTGCACCCACATTTCCTCTCTTGGTTTCCCTTCTTTGGAGCTGGCCGTCTGGGGCATTTTCACTGAGGGGCATGTCCCCCTCCCTCCAGTTGTGCAGTTGTTCCCTTTAACCAGCAGTCTGCATTTTTCATGAGCAGGTCCTCCCTTGGAGCAGAACCCTGGGAATAGGGTGTGCATGAAATTCTTGCCACTGTGGGGAAACTCCTTCCACAACAATCTTTTGGGAAAGGAAGTGCCTTGCTTTTAAGTGTGCTTTAAGGCCTCTGGGATAGCTGGTCAGTTTAAAAACAAGGCCTTTGCTCCCTGTGTGCCCTGTGGACAGCATGTGGGGAATTTTTTTGGGGGGGGGCTATCTTTTCCACTGCCACATCAAATCCACTTTCACCAGTGAGAGTCAGGCGAAGGCCTCGAACCAGGTTTTGGGAGGGCCTTGGTTTTGACTTTTTGGCTCAACCAGCCCTGGCTTTATGGATGGGTACTTTCTCAGGGCAATGAAGAACCCCTGGTTGCCCACAGATCCTATGGATCAAAACCCAGCCTTCACCTGTTAGGATTAGAAATGTGAAAGAGAAACTAAAAAGAAGGGAAGACAAAAAGGAAAGTGTGGTCTTCCTTAGAAATGAAACTTAGTTGCTTTTCAATGCAAAGCCATTGAATCATCCTCGCCTTGTGGCTACAGCCAGCCGTGCTTCTTTTAGAAAGAGGAGAGGCAGGCTGCACAGAGAGAAAGGGCATCCGGATGTCCAGAAAAGCAAGGATCCCTTCCTTGCTCTTTTAAGAAAAAAAATAAAAGATTACTGTGCCCTTATCTCGCTCAGTCCTTTTGCTAAGGGGTTTTATGGGGATGGGGGGGGAAAGAAGGGTGGGGAGTTGAAAACACCCCCAAGCCCTGCAGATTCCCACGGGTTCACCTTCCACACTGCCTGGACCACTCCTTATAAGCCTTGCCATTGGCATTCCCTGTTTGCACGAATGGAGTACAGTGGTGCCTCGCTTATCGATGTTAATAGCAGGAAAAAAACGTCGCTAAGCGATTTCATCGCTAAGCAATTCTAAAAAGCCCATAGAAACGCATTAAAATGTATTTAATGCGTTCCTATGGGCTTAAAAACTCATGAGAAAATCCTCCATAGGGGTGGCCATTTTCGGTGCCTCTAAAGCGAGGCAACACAGTGGGCGGCCATTTTGGAACCGCCGATCAGCTGTGCGAAAATTGGGCCTTTGGGATGATCGCGGGAAAGCGCTCCCCCGCAATCATCCCAAAGGCCCCGCTGATCAGCTGTGCAAAAATGGGGCCTTTGGGATGATCGCGGGAAAGCGCTCCCCCGCAATCATCCCAAAGGCCCCGCTGATCAGCTGTGCAAAAATGGGGCCTTTGGGATGATCGCGGGAAAGCGCTCCCCCGCAATCATCCCAAAGGCCCCGCTGATCAGCTGTGCAAAAATGGGGCCTTTGGGATGATCGCGGGGAAGCGCTCCCCCGCGATCATCCCAAAGGCCCGATTTTCGCACAGCTGATCGGCGGGGGTTTGTGATGATGGCTTCCCTGTGATCATCTCAAACCCCTGCTGGTCAGCTATGCTTCGGCTCTCTCCTTCTACCCCTCGCAGCACAGCTGATTGGCGGCCTCTACCCCTCGCAGCACAGCTGATTGGCGGGGCCTTTGGGATGATCGCGGGAAAGCGCTCCCCCGCAATCATCCCAAAGGCCCCATTTTTGCACAGCTGATCAGCGGGGCCTTTGGGATGATCGTGGGGAAGCGCTCCCCCGCAATCATCGCAAAGCGAATTTTCCCCATAGGGGCCATCGCAAAGTGATCGCTCTTGCGATGGCAAAAAGTCCATCGCAAAGCAATTTCATCATAAAACGGAGCTATCGCTATGCGAGGCACCACTGTATTCAGAAAGAACCAGACATGCATTCCTACAGTGGTGGGTCCAGGCAGGGATCAGGTTGGGGTGTGTCATCCGAAGAGTCCAGGGTCGGTCAGTCCCAATCTGAGTGCCCTTGATTCAGGCACAGAGCAGGTCAGGGGACTGTTGCACATCTCTCTAGCGCATGGTGTATTCTGGCCACTGCCCTGCGGGGGTGGAGGTGGGGAGGAATTGCGACCAGCCCAACCTGCCTGTACACCTCTCACCTGCCCATTCCTTTCCCTGGGTTTCTCTTAAGCCCAAATTATAAAAGCCAAGTGAAACATGAAGCTCTTGATTTGGAAAGGGTAACGGTTACAAGACACATTCTTAAGCTTGACATTACATAGATTGTAAGAATCAGCTTTCCCAGGCCTGAGCTAGATCTCTCTGTTATAAAATACCTATATTATACAGCTCCTTAGAAAAGCCAAACTCCTGTCCTTCGATATAATCTAACTTCTCTTCCTCTCTCGTCTTCTCTCCTTCTTCTTGTAGCACCCCAGCATCTCTTGACGGGCTCTCCTTTCTGACGTCTTTCTTCCTCTTGTCGCTGGATAGAACATTTTAGGGTTCCATCACAGGAACCTATTTATAATCTTGCTCACAACAAACCCCAGTGGGATGTTGTTTCAGGGCATTGGGGGAAATTAAATAGGGTAGCTGGTCCCCAAACCTGGCCTGTCCTAGACTTATCGTTAGCAGTGGTGATGCCTCCAGCTGCCAGTCCTGAATCAACCGGGGGGGGGAGGTGCCAGGTGGGGTGGAACGGAGTCAAAGGCTAGTGCCTTCTACCACTGAAGAGGCTGGCCCTATAGAACCTCGCGTGTTATTCTCCATTCCTTTCAGTCATCTGCATCGTCAGTGCTGAGTGCTCTTGTGTGCTTCCTCCAACTATAGTTTGTGCATCATAGTCTACTGCAGATACAGTGATGCCTCACTTAACGGGCTCCTCATTTAATGACGAATCCACATAGCGATTAAGTTTTTGCAATCGCTTTTGCAATCGCATTGCGATGATTTAGATAGGAAAAAATCGCTTTGCGCTGATCGATAAGCTGTTTCGCTTACCGATTTTCGCATAGCAATGTTTTCCTAACAGCTGATCGGTGGTTCCAGAATGGCCGCCGGGTAAAAAAAATGGCCGCCCACTGTGTTTTCGCGCCGATTCCCCGCTTACTGGGCAGTGAAAATGGCGGCTGTATGGAGGATTTTCACATAATGGTGAGTTTTTTGCCCATAGGAACGCATTAAACAGGTTTTAATGCATTCCTATGGGCTTTTTTATTTCGCATAGCGATGAATCTCCATAGCGACGATTTTTCCAGAACGGATTATCGTCGCTATGCGGGGCACCACCTGGTTTATAGATCTCTATTTGGGGCGTTTGGCCTGAAGGTATAGAGAGGGCTTTTCATAAGCTGCGCCTCTAAGGTTCCCACCTCACCCCTTTCCAGCAGTCCCTAGTTTCACTAGCCACCTGGGGTCCTTTTATGGAGAACGGTTGGATAAAAACATTTTGAATGAATGAGATGAGGGCACTGTTTCCTTTGCTGGGATTCTCAGCCGGAGGAACACTGTTATGTGTAGGATCCTCTTTGGTTCTTCAGCCTAACTGAATAAATGCCTAACTGGGGGTGGGGAGGAAGTATTGCCATGTGCCTTTGGTTCCGAACACTCCACTTAGCCCTCTTCATGCTTTCACACATAATGCCTGGATTGTTGTCACTTTGAATTTAATGGCAATCCTAATAGGGTTTTCAAGGTAAGTGGGACGTTCCAAGAGTCATTTACCATTGCCATCTCCAAGTGAGTTTCCACAGCCAAAGAGAAGTTTGCTCCCAGATGTCTTTCTCCAACCCTCCAGTGCCTGGAAAGATTTCAAGAATTAACATTTAGTACCACGTGATGCTTTTCGGTGTTCAGAGTGCTTTGCATCTTGCAAATCCTAGCAACACCTCTGTAAAGTAGATCAGCATAAATGCTCTCACAGTGCAGAAGGGGGTAGAAAAGGCTTAAGGCCATTTAGCGAGTCCATGGCAGAGACCAAGAGTTTAAAAGCTTGCTGATTTGTAGCCTCAGATTCGCGTTGGGTGCAAGACAGGAGCAAATGGTGCAGATTTCTGTAACTTCTGTTTTGCACGGATAGATTCCTAATTTGTTTTTTCTTTGTTTGTTTTCTTTTGTTTTTTCTTTTCTTTAGGTATAAAGTTATTGATTTCCGTCCCCGTAAATACTTTTTTAATTTCTATGGAAAATACAGACGAACTCCCGGCGGCAGTCTAAGGATCTCCATTGTACGTCTTCCTTTGTAGTTTACATCACCCTTGGCTTTAGTAATTCTTTGTTCTAGAAGAGCGCACCTCATTTTCCTTGGGAGAGCCGAAACCATGGAGGAGCGGAGGAAAATGAAATAGCCACCAAAAAAAAGAGGGGGTGGTGGGGAAGAGGGTATATTGACCAACACAGACACCTTAAAAAAGAAACAGACCTTTGTCCTCAGGCGCATTAAACCTTTTGAAGGGGGAATGGCCAAAGCAGTGCTTTGGGGGGTGTAAATCCCAAAGGAAAACGGGACTGCTGTGAGATAATTGCCAAATTGGACGACTGGCAGTTGGGAAACCGACCTTTGGCGTTTTCTTTTTTTAGTTGCTAATTGTTCTGTGTTAAAACCGCTGAGCTTCCAAATCTCTTCCCTGTAGAGAGCTGTTGCTGGTGTCTTTGTTGTGATAACTTGGGTTTTCGGGAGCAGATGATCTAAGCAAACCTAATCAAGCCAGCCGACTTGCCGATAACATGCGCAACCCAAATTTTGGTTTTTCAGGTGAACCAGCCCATAATAACCCAAGGATCCTCTGTTACAAAGATAACTTTCGAAGGTCATCAGCCGCCCACCGTGTCCAAGGTGGCCCCACCGCTCCCGAACCTCTTCCCTGCCCAGATGCCCACAAAGGCAGCAGTGGCTGACATTTTGAAAATGTCCATGATGGAGGCTCAGATTGACCCAGGTGTGGACCGTATGCTAGTGGACTCCGTAAACAACAAGCCTTCTCCCCCCGGGAATGTGCCAGGGGAAATAGAACCATCACCGGCCTCAGTGCTGAGGGTGGCTACGGTTGGGACAGGGGCCACCATGGCCGCATCCATCCTCCAGCAGCCGAAGCGCTTGGACTCGGCTTTGAGCCCTTCGGGCATTGGGCCGCTCATGCCAGAGAGGAGACCCGCCCTTCCGGCACCGTCTGCAGCCAGCCAGTTCATCCGTATCCAGAATATCGCCCCAAAGAAAGCAGAGGAGATCCCTGCAGAAATCTTAATCCAGGTGAGCCTTGGGAGAAAAGACCCGTCGGCCTAGTTTGCGATCACTGAGCTTTGAAGGTTTGGACTGGCCAGGTGTTTGCCGCTAATCAAGTCCGGCGGGGGGTGTGTGTGTGTGTGTGTGAAGGTTTGTGGGAAGATTTGAATAATACCTTTCCAAATGTGCTGGTTAGAGATGGCATGAACTTGGGTTCAGAGGTTCGTGCAGCTTCCTATGCACATATGTTCTCTTCATATGTTCTCTTCCCTCACCTCCCCGGCCAGTGACCCACTCATGATCCAGCATGCACTCCTCTCTGGCCATTCAACCAGTCCCTGTCCTGCCTCCTTGTCCGAGTGGGTGACCAGTCCAAGGAGGCGGGGCAGAGAAGCCTGTGCTTCTGCCGGGGACTGGTTGAACAGCTGAAGAGTCAGCCCAAGGAGGCAGGGCAGAGCAGCCTGTGCTCCTGCCGGGGACTGGTTGAACAGCTGAAGAGGAGAGGAGTGCACACTGGCTGGTGTGCAGCAGGGGGATGCAGGGGAATGGAACGAAACTGGCTGGTGAGTGGCGGATCCAGCAGGGGGATGCAGGGGAATGGAACGAACCTCCGAACCAAGGTTCGTGCCCATCTCTAATGCTGACCGTGCTGGGCAGGACGTTCTGGTAGTCCAGAGAAGTAAAGTAACAGTTTCTTTGTGGTCTAATGCAAAGCTGCTTTCGATGCTCATCAGAAAGGGTCGGTACCGTACGGTTGACCTGCAAACTTTGTTGGCGTTCCCAAGCTCCACTGGTTGATGGTTCTGTCTTTTTAAGGGAGGAGATTTCAAGATGTACTTGGGAAGTTTTACACCCAACTCCTTTCAGAATCAACCACAATGGAAGCTGTTTTTTTTTGTGGGTTGCCCATCATGCCAAGAACTGTTGTTCATCCCACCTCACACATACACACAAAGAGTTCTTCTGAAATGGATTAGGGTTCTAATAAACCTCTCCCTCTGCACCAGACTTACTTCCTTTCTCTGGAAGCAGTCTTTAAGGTGCCACAATATTTTTGTCTTCCTTTTTCATGTCTCCTCTACCCTGTTTAAAAAAAAAAACATTTGAATTCAAGGGAGAATTCAATTCTCTGACATTTTCAGCAAGACCGGGAACATCAGGCTAGATGGCTCGCTCGAGCCCACTCGCCCGTGGTAAGCAACATCCCCTTCCAAGAGACCAGGAAGCTTCCCAGAATGAGAGGGAAATGTTGTCCCTCCTTTCAGACTGTCCTCATGCCCCCAAGAGACCAAGTGGGCGCATGAGCAGGGCAGGTGTCTGGACATGATGAGCAGCCGGGCAGTTCCAATACCAGAGCCACCAGCCTGGGAGAAGAGATCTCTGAAACCATGCCAGAGAGTAAAAAGTGAGGGAACGGGAACTTCTGCCCAAACCTCATTATCCTTGCACCAGCCCCATAAAGTATGTCAGTGGTTGTACTCTCCTCTTGCTACAGATCTTGGGGAGTTGGGGGAGAAGATCAGGGCCTTTTGGCTATTACGTTGTGGCAGAGGGGAGCCTTTTAAAATCTGAGATGCCACGATTCATGCCTTGTGGCCAAAATGGACACTTTTGCCTTTTGAGTCAGAACCCGGAGTTTTATAATTGCTTCTCTTCTTTTCCTCTTTTTTTTTTTAAATAAATTGTGTTTGCACTAGAAAACAGGCTCTGGGGCAGAGCTAACTGTGTGTTTCATCCTCGAAAGAGCAGGTTGCAGATTTAGAGTGGCAGAGAGAAAATTAGGGCTGGCAAGGAAAGAGCTAAGCTCCCAGTTATAGCTCTTAAGATTCAAGTTTCCCTTTCCTCCATAGCGGCTTTCTTCCATCAGAGGAAGAGATTGGGAATCAGCTGAGCGGCTGCTAATCTTGACCAGCTTCTTCCCTCAGCCCTGAAACCTATGTTTCGCTCTGTTGAGTTGCCATCTGCCTTCTTCCCATCTGAATCCGGGCAAGGAAGACCTTGTGCCCTGGAATTTGCCGTTGTTACCTCCAGTAACCGGTGGTCTCCCTCTTCCTCTTCCAGACGATCCCTCAGTATTCTGTAGCATGCCACTCCACGTCCAACGTGGTCGTGGAACCCAGCGGCCTTCTCGAGCTGAACAACTTCACCAGCCAGCGCCTCGACGATGAGGAGACGGTGATGGAGCAGGACGTGGACAGCAGCAATGAAGACGGGACGGAGCCCAGCCCGACGCAGAGTTCAGATCAGTCGTAGCCTCTCTGGGGCGCCAGGGTGCACTTTAGAAAAACAGCAACGATGCCTTGGTTATGCGTAGCCGAGACACCCGCGTATTCTTCTTAACAAGCACTTTGCCCGTCGGAGGCTTTGGACTCGCCAAGCGCCAGTACATTGACCAGACAGTGTTGGTCAGGCAGGGATCACACAGAAGGAGGCCTTGCCCATGTGCAGTGAGCGTATGACCGTAGAATGTATTTTCTGTAAGCAAAGAAGACAAAGAACGTGAAGTGTTTTGTGGTATTTTTAAAAGGCATACTGAAGTTTTGTTTGCTGTGACATTCAGGACTGGCTACTGAAACTTTCTTAAAATGTAAATGCAAAAATAGGCGATGCCTTTATTAGACCGCTAAAAAATCATCATACAGCTCACAAGCTTTCATGGATTAAAACACTTCATCAAGCTTGTACCGGTGTGCGGAACTTGATGTCCAAACATTCATGACATGATGGATTTTGCCAGGCGTGTCTCCCTTAGTCAGGAGACTGGTTGCTGTTTTGGGGTTACAGCTTAGGCATTTGTGGCTTGAGTGTAAGGAGTTCTCCAAACAAAGAAGCACCAGGCGGTGTCCCTTTTGAAGAAAGGTCATAAATGGGGGAAGTGGATGTATGCACAGTGGCCTGTGTTGCTTTGTTTGGAAAACTGCCTTACAATACATGTAAGAGAAACACACCTGGCCGTTTCCAGCATCCGTCATGCCATGAACATTTGGACTGGTACCAGCCTGATGAAGTGGTGTTTTAATCCACGAAAGCTCGTATGATGATTTTTAGTGATCTATAAAGGTATCGCCTAGTTTTGTATTTTATTTTGTTTGGACCATACGGCTAACTCTTGCTTCGACAAAACTTTTTTTGTTTGGACCCACCACCGCCCAGGTCTCTCCATTTCAGTTGAAATGAATTTCTCTTGCAAGGAGATTCTTGCTTTTTGCCCGCCACCCACTTTTGGGGTAGCGTGTCAGGCTTCTTAAAGCAAAGCAACAGCCCTACCCCTGAGTGCTGAGAAACCACCTTAATCCAAGGTGAGAGTCTTCTTGCTGTGTTACACGTCCTTTACTTTTCGACTAGGTTTGAAAATACTGGCTTTTCAAAAAACAAAAAATCGCAAGGAAGCCGTGAAATGGACTGGTCCAGGATTACTCGGAATTACAGGGGGAGCACACTGTGAAAAAAATTATTCTTTTGCAGACTCAAGGAATATTTCAGGCGTCCAGAGGTGATGATATCCCCAAAGTCCCATATTCTGAGGTGTTTGGTTTAAAAAAAAAAATAAATTATAAATATAAAGACTTAAAGAAAAGATTTCCTTCTTGTGTTCCTGTTAAACAGGCTCTGTAACCTTAAATCAGATCTGTCGAAACCCAACGGTTCAATCTTTCTGCTGCAGAGAAATGTTTCCTGGTGGAGAAGAGAATTGTTCAAAATTGAGGGCATTGAAACTCCAAGTTATGGTTGGGAGGGCGTTCAGAAATTCCTTTCAGTCTTACATGTGTTGGTTTTGTTTTTAAAAGAAACTTTACTTATTACCTTGTTGGGACTTTAAAAACGCGAAAGTCTGCCTTTTTAATCATTTCATTAATGTTGCTTTGGGGACGATCCGTCTTGGCCTTATCGTTTTACTTTTGC